CCACAACCGATGCACTTGAGGGGAGCTGAAGAGCTTCCTTTCTGGTTCCTTTCCTTTGTGGGGTGGAGACGGTCGACTTCCTCGTCTGGATCCTCCTCGGAGTTCCCTTGGACTTCTTCTTGGTGCATGGATGCAACATCTGGACTGTTCCTGATCGGCCGCATGTTCTTGATGGCGCCGCCTGCTGCTTCTTCTGCGGTGACCTCTCTCAAGGCATCTTGGAAGGACAAGTCCTCTTTGGCGAAAAGCCTCTGTTGTAGTTCTCGATGCCTTAGCCCGCACACGAATCGGTCCCTCAGTCGTTCTTCGAGGTCCTTGAACTCGCAGTGCTTAGCGGCCTTTCTCAATGCGGCGATGTACTCTTTGGCCGATTCTCCGGATCCCTCTGCTCGAAGGTGTGGCGCCATGCGATGACGGACATCTTAGGCTGGAAGTGTTCCTTCAGTAGCTTTTTTAGATCTGCGTAGCTGACAGACTGCAATGGGACAGGTGCTACAAGGTTCTCCGCGATTTCGAAGGTGTCTTGACCGTAGACACACAGCAGGGTGGCAGCCTTCAAGCTATCTTCCCTCACTTGGTTCGCCTTGAGGTAGTTTTCCACCCTGGCTACGTAGGACTCCCACCTCTCTGGATGTGAGACGTCGAACTCCGAAAGCCTTCCAATTTTTGCCATCTTCAGGAGACGGGTCTATCAGCCAGCCTACCCCCGAATGCACGCTGGATTGGCGGGTAGCTGCCGAGTCAACGCCGTTCCGCCGCTCAGGACTCACTTGGGTAAGCTTACACCCTTTCCTTTTCAGTCGATGTAAGGCATCCTACCCTCGTCGCCAGTGTTGAGTCCCTCACGAAATGGCAAGACACGAGAAGCAGTTGTAGTTCTCAGATTTGCTTTATTCTTCATTTAGCTTACAGATCGAATGCTCTGGCAACGCCCAAAACTCCCGGCCTCTTATATAGGCCTTTCCCGGGTCAATGTGTTACTTTTCGCGTGCCAGCACCCGCGCATGCGCACAGGCGCTGGCGACAGCCTGTCTGGTCCCGGGCAGCTTGCACCTGCCCGGGACCGCCTGCAAACGCCCCGAGCCCGTTTGCAAAGCTCGGGACATAACAGTTCTAGGTTGCTTCTCTCCTTGATGAGTTTCCATCCATTGTTTCGTGTCCATTCCAGCCTTCTGGTGTTTTGGAGAATAGCTTGACTCCCTCTTCTTTGTGGCAGCCCCTTAGATATTGGAATACTGCTATCATGTCACCCCTAGTCTGGTTTCCAACTTTTTCTGCACCAGGCATCGTGGAAGACAATTTTTCCACAGGCCAGAGAGATAGTTTTGGTTTCATTCTCTCGCTCGCCCGCCACTCACCTCCAGCTGTGTGGCTGGTTCCAGGAGTTGGGGACCCTTGGTCTCCGTTGCATGACCAGATTAATATTAATATTATAATGAAAAAAGTATTCCATTATGACATTTGGATATATTTAGCTTTTCTGTGTACTTTAGACTTTCCAGACAAAATACTAGTGCAGAGAGATCACACATATAACAGAAGTACGTATTTTGAAGGCTGTGGTTTTCCACTTAGAACGTGTGGTAATGAAAGCTGGCCCAGCAGAATTTAATTGTGGTCTTGGGGAAAATTCTTGAGAATACTTTGGATTGCAAGAAAAATAATTCAGTACTATGTGAAGTAAATATAGTCTTTTCACAGGAAACACCAATAACAAAGCTGAAGCTTAAATGTTTTGGGCACACAATACAGAGGCAAGAGTCACTGGTAAAGACTGATGTTTGAAAGGATCAAAGGCAATCAACAAGCAGACAGATGGTTAGGTACTATCACTGATGATCCAAGTTTGAGCTAATGAGAATTCAAAATATTAACAGACATTTACTACACATATTTATATGACTGTCCATCTTAATTAAATAACACTGACCAATGAACAAGTATAAAAACATACATATAAAAATAGTAGAAAAAGCAATAAAAGATGCCAAGTAAAAACATTTTTAAAATAAACACAATCGGCACAAGGTGAAAAATCAAACTGGGCTCCGGCGATATCCTGATAGTGAAGTCTGGCATTCATATGACATGACACTGAATAGGTCACAAAGAATTGGAAATGACTGAACAACCCCAGCAACATATTATTTATGTATCTTACAGTCCCGTCTAGCTCCTGTGCAAAAATAATTTTAGTTCACTGGAAAAGTGGCATACAATTACAAAGCTGTCAAGCATTTTTGTTACTGAAGTTCCAAGGTCATGCAGAGAATCAGCATACTTAATTTTTACTGATGGAATTGTTGGGAAAAGCACCAGCTGTGGTAAATAGGTTTAGCAAATCATTTACATTTTATCAATTACAATAATTTTATATCTCTCCTGTCTGTAACTAGTGTAAACTGAACAGTATTTTGATTTATCTTTATATACAGATTCTTTCTATCAGCAAGACAGTTAATAGTGTCATGCTAGACTGCAAGAACGCTATGCCTGGCAGGGTTGGCATATCATGTTCAACCCTGTATATTCATACTTTGAATAATAAATCAGAGACAATTTTCTCATTGGAAAAATCCTGGTCCCCATGTTTCCTCTTTAAATGTGCAGATATCAACATTCTGTATCTTGATGTTGTCCAGATGCTTGGGATTGGGTTGCTGGAGATGATGGAAACTGTCAAAGTTCTGCAAATCTGGAAAGGCCCAGCATAAGAAGGCTGATAGATAGTAAAAACAATGTTGTTTGCAATGGCTTATAAAGAGGACTCTGTTTTTTTTTTTCATCAAAAGTATCTTCATCATTGTCCCTTCCCAGCAACTTTCAAATCAAAACTTTATTTTGGTTATAGACCATATAATCCCAACAGCCTTCTCTTGTGGTGGAGTGTAAGTTGATAAATGAATATAATCTTTACTACTTATTTGCTTACAAAAGCATCCTAGCTTGCTGAATTTCTCTTTGTCTGTATAAATTGCAGAGCGGATCTTACGCTTTCACCTCCACATTTCTTTTAGATAGTCTTTAAGTATTACTTTTCCACCCCGCTTTTTCTATCGCACACCCCCGTAGACTATTCTGCAAAGAGGCAAATTACACATTACAGATGTCACAGGTGTGCAGCATAGAAAAGCTTTATCATGGTAAAATGCTCCTTATAGTTAGGGAAATTTTAGAGCAGGAGTGTGGCAGCTAAGATATATAGCAGTTTCTGAGATTTTTAACAAGCAGGCTTGTTGACTGGCTCTCAATTGCTATATTAGGTTTTTCTTTCTATCTATCTCCTTATTGGTTTTTTGTTTTGTTTTGGCAAAGAAAAATATATCCCTTTTTAAAAAGGGGTACTGTTGCTTTAACGCTTGTTGGGAATTTGTTACCCTTAGCATAAGTATGAAAATTAGAATATTATTCTTTCACATTTTTTCATTGCATATTTTTGAGTCACTTTTTCAAAATGATATTCACATTAATATAAACATTATATATTTTTATTTACTGTAATATGTAATAGCTTGCTTTAAAAAAAAATTAACTTAGTTGTGCCAGTGCTTGTCTCAGTGACTCTCCTTATGTATTCAACTACAGCTACATTCTTAGTTTATAATGGTTGAATTGTAATCAAACATTGAGGGCACTAGATTGGATTGGGGAAAGATTATGCAATCTAAAATCGGATACATATATTATTTATTCTTGCAGTTTCTAACATTCTTGCCTCTACATAACAGCCTCTCTGTTTTTCTTTTTCCCATTGTTTCACTAGCCCCCTGTTCTGTTTGTTAATTTTAAAAGTATTTATGCTATATTACCCTGATTTAACTTCCTTGTATCTTTATGCTCATTCTCCAGCTCATTCTCCAGCTCTACAGTTTTTTGATTCTAATCTCTTGGTTAGCATAAAGATTGCATCTATTGTCTCATACCTCCATCCATTTTCTTTGGCAGCCCCTTATCTTTGAAGCTCTTTGCCTTCAGTTATTTGTATAATTCAGTCTATTCTATCCTAAAAAAAAAAAAATCACATCTTTATTTACCAATTCAGATTTAAACTTAGAGCCAAACTTTGCATTTAAACTGCTGTTTTTTGCAAAAAGAAATCGCACATGCCTGTAATAATTATAAGCGCAGCCATTTGATGAGAGAATTTAACCCTTTCCACTGTGTTAATGTCCTGAGGAAAGTCTTTCTTTTGAAGCTTTTATGTACTGTGGGAAGGAAATCATCCATTGACATCAAGTTTTGTGGTATTTGCCATTGGAAAAAATTGTCTAAATGTAAAGATTCTTTGAATTCATCCTGGAAATGTGAGCAAGAGGGAAACTTTTTATTATGCTTGGTAGACATGTAAAAACTAAAAGAAATGGATTCAAATATATGCATTGATTCTGATTATTTTAAAGATTAATATGCAAGTGAAGCCAGAGCATTTCTTTTGGGGCTGATTGACAAAATGTTGGAAAAAACTCATAGAACTTTGTTTTATATATCATACAGCAATGAGACTTTTATATGAACAACAATGGAAAGATTTGGAAGAGTGGTTGTTGAATGTGATGGAGCTTGCTGAGATGGCAAAATTGACAGCTTTGATTAGAGAAAACACACTGATTAATATTAATGTCGATTGAAAACCCTTTTTTGACTTTTGAAAGAGAAATTGTAATACATCAGTTTGATGATTAGAAAAATAAATGATAGAAACAATGAGAATTATGTTGTAATACAGTAAGAGGTCAATTTGAATTTATGTTAATGATTGTAAAAGAAAATCAGAAACCATTTACCCCCCCCCCTCTACTTTTGGCTTTGTTTTTCATTTTTCTTCTTTTTCTAATCCTAAATGTTACTTTCTGTTTTTATCTTTTTTAAAAAAATAATAAATTAGAGTAAAGCTATTAAGTGGAAGAACCTGCCTTATCAATCCAAATTGAGAAAAAATCTGGGGTTAAAAAAAAAGAACAAATGCTTCCCTAATTGTGTTTTTTTCACTCTTCTTATAGCTGCCGAACCTTGGCCTCAGAATGCTGTGCTCTATCAGCCATTGAAAGGTGTGTGTTTTAGTTTCTCAATTAGCTGAATTTTCTTCATTAAATATGCATCCCTATAATTAAGTGAACCCTGATGGGGGTGAAGGGTAGGAGAGGCCTTGTTGAAAAGGGAATCCTTTATGATGCTTATCTGGTCAGAGGATTGTACTAAACTTGTATTTACCAATATAAACCTGGTATTCATGGCCTATAGGTCCTTGGTTTATTATTGACTCATTATATTGGCTGCTCTAGGCAGTGTAAAATGATGTGGTTTGCAGGCCCAGTTGGCAGATTTACTGCACCAATAGCTGAGGCAGCAGATTTTTGAAGTCTTGTGGTAAAGTGGGCTCTCGATAAAAAAGGAACTGTTAAAATGTATAGGCTAGGATGGTTCAGTCTCCCTTTAGCAGCTCTTCATATATCATCAGATCACATTATGGCCCCCATTTGGGGCTCAGCAGCCTGCTACAGTTGTCAGAAGACTGCAAAGTAATGAAGACTAATAGGTAGCAGCCCTAGTCTTCTAAGCATGGAATTTTTATTGCTGTGTACTTGTCATCTTTCTTTTGTGTGACAGACCTAGACACAGTCTGCAATATTAACTGCAAGCTGGGGTTTTTTATAGGTTTATGAATGCTTTTACTTTTTAGCAAGAAGAATTATGAAGTTGTGGGTTTTATTTCTATTAGGAAATGAGTGATTTTTATTATTATTATTTTGCTTGCAACAAAGAAAACAAAACAAAAAAAACCTTAGGACATATCTTTTGTTAGGATTCTTTAACTGTTGGGGCAAGAGGACAAATTATAGGACACATCAGGAGAAATGTTTATGGGACTTCTGGCCGCAGGTTTTGTAAAGTGGCATTAATGTAATGGGGCGTGTGATTTGTGTTAAAATAGTTTGTCTCTCTGTGTTTGTACATCATTTATTTTTGCGCTCATAATGATGTGCAATTATCGGTAGAGGAAAGAACCATTATTTTAAATAATTATACTGCATTTTATTTTATAGAGGAACAGATTTTGCTTTCTGATAATGCTGCCTGTCTTGCTGTTCAGGTAACTATAATTCTTTTCTTATTTTGTGGTTGCTAATATTTCGTGGAAGAATTGCCCCCTCCCCTCCAACAGCTTTATTAACCCATGCTTTGGTGATATATATTAAATTTTGCACCTTCTTGTTGTTCTGTCATTCCTGTTTGATAGACACTAGTATTTCTGTTCCAAACATTGGAACATTGGCTCTGGTATGTTATTTTCTAGTAAGGTAATAGAAATATAAAACATTTTTTTCAAGATTATTTCTACTCCCTAGTCTTGTCAATTCAAATTTTAATAATGCACAATAATATATATTGGTTTTAGAGCAGATGCGAGATGCAAGATAGTCCATACAATATTATGCCTGATGTATTGCAGGTTATAGCTTCCATCCATTAGAATGTGAGAAGAGAAGGCCTGGCACCCTTTAAAAAAGATTCAGAAGAAGTGTTTTCAACTTCATGCTAGGGCAGCTCCTATCTCCTGTTCATCAAAGCATAAACAACTTTCTGTCTAAGCCTGAGAAAGGATATTTTTGGTTTAAAAGGTGCATTAAAGGATGTGTTGCTTTAATTATTTGATTCAGTTGATTTATCAAACCATGGTATCCTTCTTTAGATTTACACTGTACCTTGAAAAAAAGTCATGCATACATCATAAATATACTCATGCAAGGCATGAGACACTTTTTTTTGAAATAATTTTAGAATGATTTTACCTCTAAAGCAGAGTTGGACTCTGATCCAAATTTGCTTCCATAACTGCCTATGTCAAATGTAATCAGATGCCAAACCAGAAGCCTTCCTACTGGCTTTGTTAATGATTAGAAGATCTGTCTTATCTTGACACTGATATAGAATCATCTAGTCCAGGGGTCTGCAACCTTGACAACTTTAAGACTTGTGGACTTCAGCTCCCAGAATTCTGGGAGCTGAAGTCCACAAGTCTTAAAGTTGTCAAGGTTGCAGATCCCTGATCTAGTTTAATAGTTATTGTTAGCTTTATTTTCTATGAATTTTAAAGCTGTTGACATTGGTGGGCATTACTTTGTTTTGTAACAACTTTCAGAGAATTGCTATATGTAGAAGTATGTATGTAGAACTTTTAACCCCCTGAATCTTTCACCATACAGATTTATTGGATGATCTTAGAGTAACAGAAGAAAAATCTCCTCTTTTTTAACCCTTCTTTTGAGGTAGATTCTAATCACAGTACTCAGATGGTACCAAATTTGGCTGCCATCGTTTATTTTAAATCTGGTCTTAAATGGAAATTTAAATAAAAGAATTTGGGCTTCTTTTTATCCTCTGTATCACACCTGTGTTGCACCTGTAGTTTAGTATTTTAAGAAGAGAGAAACAGTTCCAATAAATGTTTTATATATTATGCATACTTTTCTACATTTCTATCATGTTTTTATTTTTCTATTTATGTTTAAAATATAACAAACAAAAAGCTACACATATAATTCTTTTATATAGAGTACTATTTCTCTTTTATCATTTTCATTGCTCTTTCTCTGTCCTTTTCTATACCCTATTTGTGATGTTGTAACAACAATTGTACATACTATGTTATATGCAAATATAACAATGTTTTCAGAAGAGCATTTTTGCAATTCAGTTTTGCGTTCCTTTCTTAAACCTCTTAATCATGTTTACCTTTGTCATTGCAGCTGCATTCTGAGTAGGTTCTTTACCACCACAACATCTATTGTTTGGTCAGTCTTCATATATAGGAAGTTGGGATTTTTTTTTCTCAATGTGCAATACTTTGCATTTATATTAAGGTAATGGACGTTACATTAATTGAGAAATTCAAAATCATACTAATTAAAGTAAGTAAACTGTCTTTTACCTTTTAAGGCAGAGATATCAAATTGCCGGCCCATGGGCTGGATGCATCACATAGAAGCCGCGCCCACCCCATCGCAATGGCAAAACTGTTCCGGAACGTCACGCGATGTCACATGATGTCGCAAGTTTGACATGTCTGTTTTAAGGAGTACCAATAATGCCAATATTGCATTATTTACAACAGTGGTTCTCAACCTTTCTAATGCCGCGACCCCATAATACAGTTCCCCATGTTGTGGTGACCCCCAACCACTTATACATCACCGGGTGCCAGGGGCATGGCCAAAGAAAAGGCGAGAAAAATGGTGGACAGCCTTGTTTGGCGACCCCCGTGAAATGGTTGTTCGACCCCAAATGGGGTCCCGACCCACAGGTTGAGAACCACTGATTTACAAGAATATGTGAAGTCATGCATCAAAAGCAAATTGCCTGTTCCAAGGACTATAGAATAAAGAATAAAGAATTCTAAGGACTATAGAATAAAGAATTCAAAGAAAATGATTATGGATGTCATTTTCTTGTGAATAAATGAAGTATGCTTAATTAAAATACAGGTAGTCTTCATAGACAGTGTTTGGGATCAGCAACTCCATTCTTAAGTGACACAGTTGAAAGTAAAAAAATCATGTGACTGGCTGTCTTACAAAGTCAATTAGTCAGTTCTGGCTGCACTTGTTAAATGAATCACTGTGGGTCGTTGAGCACAATGTCACATGATAGCAACTTGTGACTTCCTGCTGGCTTCCCCATTGACCTTGCTTGCTGGAAGCTGGCTTGAAGGTCACACTGTGGGAATATGATGGTGATCACCGTGGGACACGGCAACAAGTTTGGTCTGGTGGTTAAAACACAAGTATAAAAATCAGGAGATTGTGAGTTCTAGTCCTGCCTTAGATATGAAAGCTAACTGGGTGCCTTTGGGCCAGTCATTCTCTGTCAGCCCAATTCACCTCACAGGGTTGTTGGAAAGATTTTGTGAGGAAGGTGTATTGGGTATGCTGCCTTATTTGTAAAAAAAATAATAAAGGGATAAAATAAATCATTAAAAATGCTTGCTGGTTGCTAACTGTCTAAATTGAAATCACATAACTGCAGTGGCTGCAACATTGAGACTGGTTGTTCAGCACCATTGTAACTTTGCATAGTCATTGAACAAATGGTCAGCAAGTGAAGACTATCTGTATAGCAGTTAGGACTATAGGGAAGTCATATTTAGAAAAATGGAGAATTAGAGAATTAGAAACCTATAGATCTTGAATCCTCAGGGGTAGGCAGCCTTGGCTCTTTTATGACTCATGGACTTCAACTCCCAGAATTCCTGAGCCAGCCAGGTGAGAGTTTAGGATTGCTTTTAAATAATCTTTAGCATGTTAAATCCCTTTTCCTATTTAGAACAGAAAACACTGTAGGATTAAATCATACTGAAAAGTACTATGCATAAGTATTTTTCAGGATATGTACAAAGTTGACAGGAACAAATTGGATTTTGAAACAGATTTATTAGAAAGTCCAAGAAAAACCAACCTTAGGTCTTCAAAGTTGTGCAGAATCATTATACAAGAGTTTAGGATGCAGTCCTATGCCATGTACTGGGAATAAATTTAATTTAATTCCAGTGGGATTTACCATTGAATAAATATGGGTAGGCTTACATTAAAAAAATAATTGAAACTTTCGTGGAATAATATTCCATGATAGAAAAAAATATTTTCAAGTTATCATTTTATTCTGGCTTTTGAATATTTGCATTTGCTACATTAATAAAGGATGAAATATGTTTAAGAAGCCAAATGAAAACTGAAAAGTCCAAAAGATATAAAAGATACATTTATAACTGTAGCACTCTAATCCTATTCAGAAGCTAGTTTGGATACAGTGGGGCTCATTTTGTCTACAAGATTGTAACAAATAGCACCGTAAATAATATATACAGCACGGATTTAAATAATTCTTGCAATCCATGATGTTGCCCCATCATTAGAAATGATGTTCTTTCTGCATCTGAAGAAAATGTTAAGTAATGAACAATAATAATTCAGTTTTGTATCTTGATAGTCCCACATTTCTGAGAGACTATCCCTGGAAATTCCTAACTTTGGGGGATAACTTCTCAGTGGATAGGAGGAAAGTGATTAATGGGGATATGCCAGAGCAGGTGAGAAGAAGTAGTTCCTGTAGTAGAAATGAGCCTGTGTGTATTTTGTTATAGAATGCTTTTTAAAAAATCCTTGATAAAGAAATGATAGTACTAATATATTTGAAATGATATTCTTGCATTTCTATCAAGAAACCTTTAATCATCATAATCATAAATAGTTAAAATCAAAGTTCCTTTCAGAGGAGAATTTTGTGTATTTCAGTTCTGTTTTACACATGTCACTTAAATGATAAATTAACCATAATATATTAAAATCTTCTTTTTTCAATATTCTTTGTGTGACAGCAGATAGTGGCCATGACTATAAATATGACTTCAAAAGATATCTGATTTTAAACTTTATGGAACAATTTTCTTTGATGTAAGGTGATGTTATCAGTTCAGAATAATCTGTAATAAGGAATATAAAAGTTATGCCAACTTGTACGGTTTCTAGTTATTATTAAATAGTACTTAATAATATTTATGTTGTCTTATGATTATGAATTTCTTGTTTTTTGTAGTTTTCATAATGATTCTGCGCTTTACAACGATTTTGTTTGTATAGTACACCATTTTGTTTATATGGTTGAAACCATTTAATTATTTAAAGATAGTTTAGCAACAGTAATTGGTTAAAAAATATGGCCGACAGGTTTCTGATTGAGATAGATAACAGGAAACTTCTTCTTGAAACCTGGGGAGACTTTCACCAGTTAACTGTTTACTTCCAAGCTCAAGATGATGGTTTAAACCAGTGGTTCTCAACCTGTGGGTCGGGACCCCATTTGGGGTCGAACGACCATTTCACGGGGGTCGCCAAACAACGCAGTCCGCCATTTTTTCCCCTTTTCCTTAGCTGTGCTACTCCCTTTTATTCTATTGGCTTTTGAAAGCCAATAGAATAGACTCTCTTGAATAGAGTCTAATTCTATTGGCTTTCAAAAGCCAATAGGAATTGTCCAGGCTGTCTCTGCCCTGCTGAGCCCGCCAAAAGTCCCATTCTGCAAACGGTGCTGCACCAG